GGGACGAAGTATGCCAAGGTTCAGCTGTTGTCTGGCACGGAGCAAGTGCTCAATACATTGTAACTGAATTAAAAATAAACGAATTATCTCCCAGAACTCTGTAGTTTGTACATGCAGCTTAATATCCTGCTTGCTTTCACTCGACATCATTTGGTGAACATTGTTCCAATATTAAAAATTCTCTGGAAACATCATTTTTAATAACTGTGTTTTAATGACTCCCACTGTGTTGATGGACCATAATTTATTTGAGCATTTAAGATGTGGAAATAATTGTTTACTTGTGTATTATTTTATAATCCAGTGAAATCCTATTAACATAGCAGCTATTTTATAGGAGAGGAGAGTTCTGGATTTTTATAAAAAAAACAAAAACAAAAAATGTGTGTTTTGCTTTTCTCCCCTGGAAAACAAGGGTCATAAGGAATTTTGAGACAACAGTGGCAGCAATTTATAGACCTCGGGCAAGGATTTTTTTTGTTTTTAAGTTCTGAGGATTCTTTGCACCTATGGGCTCTTGACAACAATGACAGGAAAATAGTGATATTACCAGAAAAAAACCCCCAAACCCCAAACCAATCTTTATAGACCTAACTACAATAAATAAAATCAGGGATTTTCAGACAAAAAGGATATTTCATGTCTTTGCTTCTAGTGATGGAGAAAGTAACTATTAAGAAAAAAGTGAGTGAGCTTGGGAAAAATCTTGGGAAAAATTTTAAAGAAGAATTTCAAATATTTTAGGCTCCTTTTGCACTTGGAAGTGTTTTTGTTGTTGTTGTTGGTGGTGGTGGTGAGTTTTTTTGTCACTTTCATAGCCAATAATCCATTTTCAAAGACATTTCATCAACCCTGGAGAATGATGTCTATTTGGAATCCATCTCGAGCATTTTATGGGGCTACCCTCTTTTTTTTTTTAAGATTATTTATTTATTTATGAGAGAGAGAGAGAGAGAGAGCAAGCACGAGCAGGGGGAGGAACAGAGAGAGAGGGAGAAGCAGGCTCCCCACTGCCCAGGGAGCCCGATGTAGGGCTCCATCCCAGGACCCCAATATCATGACCTGAACCGAAGGCAGGTGCTTAACCAACTGAGCCACCCAGTTGCCCCCTGGGTCTCCCCTCTTCATGGGCTCCCAGAAGCTGGCTTGGAGGGGAGTGTGCATGTGATGTCTCTTGGAAGGGACACCATCCAGCGGAACTCCCAGGCAGGTCCACCTGTCAGAGCGGCTGCCAGGGAGACTGTATGGACCCTCACCTATGGTAGAATAGTTCTCGTACGACTCAGGAAACTTCCACTGTTGACAACTTTTGCTTGTTTATAGCTGAGGATAAACATTGATTGTCTTAGTATCTTTAATGAGGATTTTGAAACCTTGTGACTTTTGTGGACTATGAGCCGGGGAGTGGGGAGGTGGTTTGTGGCCTCCATTCATTTTCCCTCTGGACAGTGAGGGACCCTTGACAATCGTCTTTCTGCTGAGACTCATGCCTGGCAGATGTCAATTATTCATTCAGAAAAGCCCTGTGGGGAGTAGCAGTCATCCCACCAAATTCCCTTATTCTCTGGCTGTTAGTGCTCTCCTCATACAGGGGCACAAATTACACTTGAGCATGAACATCGATCCTTTGCTGTTCACGCCATCATCCAACATCCACAGGAATTTGTCAAGTGCTCTGAATCCCAGACCTGCCTGTTAAACCCTAAATCTACCTCGGTAGAACCATTCTGCTGGGTTGCCTTCTAGGGAAATTTGTCAAGGTCTGAGCCATGCTGCTGGTTGGTTTCCAACGTGTTTGGGGTCTACGCATGCTAGCGTGCAGGTCCATCCAGTTTCCTGCAAGGACTAAAGACATATTTGACTCTTTTTCCTCTCTTACTGACATTCGGGAGAAGCTTGGGTTTCCCACTCAGGTGGTCCTAGAAATAAGTTGTTTTTCAGCTTCTTAACTCCAATAGACCCTGTGACATCTTCATCTACCTGTTGCTATTTATTTTTTATCAGTGATCATGTTTATCCTGGGCAGCGTTGCCAGGAAAAATATTATTTCATTGATTTTAACATCTGTTCACATGAAATCTGATCTTGGAATTCACTGGGTCCTGTTCTCTGACAGCTCTGAATCCCAGTGTTCATGTGCCCCCGGGACAGTCACACCCATGTCTACAACCAGCAGAAGTTGTTTTGCACCTTTGTGGTATGTGTGCGTTGCTTTGTTGTTTTCTGAACTGATGCATGCTTGCCTCAACACATTTATGTGATGCCAAAATACAGACACAAAGGAAAGGTTCTCTGTTCTTGATCTCTGCACCTCCCCTCTGCAGGACCCGCTAGGGTGAGGTGTTCTGGAAGGGTTTCAGCTCTTCCCAGACATTGGCAGCTTGCCAGGATTGTGGAAACCTGACATCCCTGTTCTCTTAGAAGCAGAGCGTGTTTCTTTGGTGGACATAATAACAAACTAACCACAGTCGTGCTTTTCTACTTGGGAGGGGTGAACAGGCCGAGCCAGGGAAAGTTGGCTCAGGCACACGTCTACCCTGCTGCTGTTTGTCAGACACCAGGGTCCCTCTCAGGGGCACCCCGGGCAGGTCCCTCTGCATGCCTGAGAGCACACCGCCCCCCACCCCCCGAACAAAAGGGCCATTGGAGGGTGAGGTGACTGGCAATGGTCATGTCACACAGACCACCATGTGTCCTGGGCAAGGAGAGTGATTTATAGGCATTGTGACCTGGTCCTGTGACCTGGACAAGAATGGATCCTTGTTCCATTTCATTACTACTCAATGTCATGTGACCATCCTCAAATCCCGGCTCCATGAGAAAGGACGGCGCTTGTCCTCGTGGCCGGCCCTGAGACATCCACAGAGCAAGTCCCAGGTGGGAAGGAACCGGGTCACAAACAGTCACAAACACGCAGGGGCATTTTGCTCTTGGGCTGTTGGCTGTTCCTGCGGTCACAGGAAGACCCATGCTTACCTCAGCCTGAGTCCGGAAACACGTGTTTTTCCATGGAGTGGGGATCCTCTTGACCTGCTGAGGGTGGTTTTATAAGAGGTTTTGGCTCAAGAGCATCATTAAAAATTATCAGTGTGAGCCATGTCATACCTAAAGAAAATGTTGATCTCTGCCTCCCTTCATGGAAGATGTTGGTCTGTGGCCTTATACGCCATCTTCCTTTGCAGGAAGTGCTGTCATGCAAATGAACCCCAAAGCTGCTGTCCCCTGAAAACGCCTCTCCAAATCTACCCAGAGGTCTGTGTATGGAAAGGACACTAAAAGGCAAAAGGAAGAGCTGAAACCTTACCAGACATTTTTAAAAATTTTTAAAAATTTTCATTGTGGTAAAATACATATAACAAAATTTACCATATTAACTATTTTTAAGTGTCATTTCAGTAGTGTTAAGTACCTTCAGATGGCTGTACAGGCATCTCCACCATCCTTCTCCAGAACTTTCTCATCTTCCCAAAATGAGACTCTGGACCCACTTAGAGACTCCCCATGTCCCATCCCCCCAGCCTTGGTGACACCATTCTGCTTTTTGTGAATGTGACCCCCTACATACTTCATGTCAGTGGAATCATGAACCGTGAGTCATCCTGGGGCTGGCTTACTTCACTTAGCATAGTGACTTTAAGATTCATCCCTGTTGAGGTGTATGTCAGAATCTCTTTCTTTTTAAAGGCTGAATCATATTTCATTGTATGGATGGACCACATTTGCTCATCCATTCCTGTCAGTGGATGCTCATGTTGCTTCCACTCTGGCTATTGTGAACAATGCTGCTAGGAACATGGGTGTGCAAATACCTCTCAGAGACCCCGCTTTTAATTCTTTGGGGTACATACCCAGAAGTGCAATTGCTTGGATCATATGATAGTTCTATGTTTAATTTTTTAAGGAAACTCCATATAGTTTTCTAAAGTGGCTCTGCAACATTTTATACTCCCACCAACAATGCACAAGGGTTCCAATTTTTCCATGTCTTTTGCAATATTTGCTTTCTATTTTCTGATAGTAGCCATCCAAATGGGTGTAAGGTGATATCTCTCTGTGGTCTTAATTTGTATTTCTCTAATGATTAGTGATATTCAGCATCTTTTCATGTGCTTATTGGTCATTTATGTATCTTCTTTGGAGAAATGTCTACTCAAGTCTTTTGCCCGTTTATAATTAGGTTGCTTGTTTTTTGTCGTTGTTGTTGTTGAGCTGTAGGAATTCTTTATATAATCTGTATACTAACCCTTATCGGATGTACAATTTGCAAATATCGCCTCCCATTTTAAAAGTTGACTTTTCACTGTGTTGATGGTATCCTTCAATGCACAGAAGTTTTTAAAATTTTGATATAGTCCAATTTATCTGTTTTTTTCCTTGGGTTGCCTATCATACAATTTTATAGAAAAACTTTTTTTGGTGAAAACATTGAAGGGCCAGACAGAAATGAGAAAGCACCTCATGACAACAGATTTCCTGTGACTTCTGGAGGTTGCCAAGGTAATTGAGAGATTGCTGTGTGGTGTATGAGTGGAAGCCCATGTCTGTCTGACTCTCCAAGGGATGAGCAGCCTTCAGCTAACATTCCCTCCGTACCACAAAATCCACAGGGCTCAGCAACCGTAACAGCCCTGAGCTCAGCTATGGAGACTTAAAGGAGCACATGCTCTCTCATTTCAGAACCACAGACTCCTGGCCACCAGAGAACACAGCCCTGCTTGTTATGTGTCATTTCCATACATCTGTGCACACGCACACCACACACACATACATACACACATGGACAGCTGTAGATTATCTCCTAATTTTTCTTCTTCTGATGTAAACATGACCAGATATCTCTCGCTTTAATTATCATTGCATTTTTGAAAGTTACATGTTGTACGCTCTACATACTGTGTTTTCTATCAAAACAGAAATTCTATCCAAGACTGGGGCTCTAACTCCCAAATGCACTTTAGTAAGCATTCTGAGACTTAACTGTTTTTCTGTTTGCACCGTAGGAAAAGGATCCTCCCCAAAATACTGGAAGTGTTGCTTCTGTTTGGGCACCCCTCTCACCCTTTCTCCTGGTACTGCCTCAACTGCATGTCACCACTCAGACCTGAAGCTTCATCTTGGACATCTCTGGAGCCATACCCTGAATTTGAGGCCGGGAACCTGGCCGGTCCCTAGACCCCTCAGCTCAGCACGTCAGAACGAGAGCAGCATCCCTGCACATCCTGGGTGCCCTCCTGCGGTCAGTCATGTTTTTGTGGGTCCACAGTCACTTCTGGGGACCTGACTATTCTCCACTGTCCCCATCCACCATCCTAGAAGCTGTCATTTCTAGAAAGTCAGTGTCTTTCTAGAAAGTTCCCTGTTTCTCATCCCCTTTCATCAGCATTCACACTGCCTTTAATCCAGGTCTGGTCTCTTCCCTAGCAGATGGACTGCTTGTTTCCCGCTTTTTCTGCCTGTTCCACTGTTACCACTGGCCACAGCTCCTTGAGGTCCCACACACGGCCATCCCTTCCCAAGAAAGACACAACTCCTTCAGCCTGCAGTCTCTGCCCTCCTCCTCTGAAAGAAGGAGGCAATAAACCCCCCCATGCACCTGCAGGCTGGGGTTAGAACTGCCAGGATGGAACATGAAGGAGTCAAGTTGAATCAGATCGTGAAGCCCCCCTCCCCCACCCAGGGGCCAGCGCAGCATCCCGGCTCATCGCTCCACTGGCTTCCCTTTGTGCCACACCACTCTTCAGTCAATGTTCCAGCAGATTGGAAAACAAATCTAAAGGCTGTGGGCAGGCGGAGGAGGTGGCCTCAGCTGGTCTCAGTGAGTTCAGGTGCAGAGAGTGTGGCAGAGGGAGGGGACACAGCAGGGTCCTAAGGTAACCAGCAAGTTCAGCGGCCAGAACCACAGCCGGAGAGCAGCCTGTGGGGTCAAGGTCTCAATCTACCTTTGTCCTTTCAAATAACACTCCCCGAAACAGTGCACCGAGGAGTTACGCTCTGTAGAGCAGAGAGACCAGTTTTGTCTATTTTAGCAGAATAGGGCAGTAAGCCGAGCGGTGCTGGCTCATGGGTCTGAGAGGAAGAGATAGTTGCATGCTTTCAACCCTTAACCCCATTTCTTACATTTGCTCTTTCCATTTGATCAGTTTGCACACGGACTGCATGAAAGCAAGTTGTAAGAAAGCTGAGCCATTCTCACGCTCACCAAGGACTGTTGCCTTTATTAGCTCTTGTGAGAAAGCAAACATGAAGTGCATGAGCTGCCGTCGAAATACTGAGTACAAGTAACTGTTTATGGGGCAATAACATTTCTCTCACTTCCCATGGTCTCTTACATTACTTATTTCATCATTTTCCAGGAGCTCCAAATAAATCCTTTTCTTGGAATCCACAGAGCATTAGGATTCTGGGTACAAATATACTTTATTTGATAAGGAATGAGCTGATGCAGCTCTCCACAGCCACTGATCAGGAGTTGAAATCACTGCCAGTAAGAACAAATCCCAAAAGAAGCAGAAAAACTATGCAAATGCCCTTTGTCTCTGATGTAATTGATTTTTAAAGTAATGCAATTAAAAAAAAATACTGGTTTTGCAGCGATCCATGCCTTAAGCCGCATCGTTGATACCCATGAATCTTTGGCCTTAGGTATTGTTGACAAATCTCTTGACCCTGTCATTCTGAGACCCACGCTGCCAGGGCCAGAGTTTCCACTGAGAAGTCTGGCCAGTGGGACCCAGATCTTCCAGATAATGTCTACTTCATCCATTCATCCATCCACACGTTCACTCAACAAATATATCCTGGACTCTTATTACAGACAAAGCACCAAAAATGTATTTTTTTTTTATAGGAACATGCGGTAATTAAGTCAAATGTCAAAACAAAGGGAACCGCTAGGCAAAAATCATTGGCACTCTTGCTCTGAAGAAACAGACCATATGCTTGGGAATTGCAGGGGATGGGGGTGGAGGGGTGACAATCGCTGTGCACCCCCTGCAGAGAATGGCAGAGACTAGCTCTCACTCGTGGGCATTAACAATCCAACTCTCAACCTGGGGATTGTAGAATCTGGTTCTTTACAACTTGGAGTCAAAGGGGTCTGAGTCCCATTCGGAGTCTGCAGCTGCTTGTCCATCATCAACGGTGAGGGTTTCCTGAAGGAGAACAGACGAAAAATGGACGCGGCAGCTCACGTTTTAATTCAGTGTTCGTTGGTTGAGTTTGACAAACTGGAGCCAGGATTCCTACTCTGAAGGCATGCAGAGTCCAAGGTGGACAAACAGTAACCCTGGGTGACACATCGCCTGTAGACCTGCTGCCGAGATATTCTCGAGCAATTGGGAAACCAGTGTGAGCCAGATGCATCTGATCTCCCTGCTGCCTTCCGTGTGGTCTCCTTCCGTGGAGCTGCCTGGGTCATTTTGTGCCTTTGTGGATAAGGAGGCCCTCCGGTGTGAGCACGTTGAGGTGCTGACTGCTCCCTGCTTTCTCTGCTGATAGCCACACACAGTCAGTACCCCGGGGAGGGGGGGAGCTGTCTGGATAAAAGCCACCAATAACCCAAAGAATCTTCACATCAGATAGGGCTATAGGGAGTGTCTAGTCCCATACTTGAGGTCACACAGCCAATCAGGAGGGCAACAGCCCTTTAACCCAGCATCATAGCAGTTGGGGTGAGGAGCATGGACACCCCAGCAACGAGCACTTCCCCAGGGAAGCAAAAATTACAGAGGCCCCTTCTCCAATGCTCAGAATATTCCCTTGGTTCTTCTCTTTGGCTTGCCTCTCACTCCCCGGCCAATGGAGCAGTTCTGTTATCTCCGTATGTAAAGCACACTCTGACCCAGCCACCCCTTCCCTAGTCCACCCATCCCATCTCTGTCTTTGCTGTTACAGCAGCTTCCTAATCTCCCTCCTAGGGGCCACTCTGTCCCTTTCAGTCATTATCCAACAGGGGGGTGGTGCGGTGCGGATTTCCACTGTAAAACAGATCATAGCACTTCTCCAAGCAGAATCTGGCTCAGGCATGAATTTCGCTCGGCTCTATGTGCCCTGGACCCGCCCATCTCTCCCCATTGCTCACTCTGCTTTCTCTTCTTGGAATACACCAAGATTATTTGTGCCTCTGAAATTTTGCACTTGCTGTTTCCTCTTTCTGGATGTTTTTCTGCTCCTCTCCCAGATGTTTATAAGGCTGACTGCTGCTTCTCATGAATCTTCCTCCAAGTGGACTTCCCTGACCATCTAGCCTCAGATAGCCACCTCCAGCAGCCCCACAGTGGCTGAATCATATCACCTGGTATTACTGCCTTTGTAGCAATTATCACTGATGGATTTATTTTGTTCAGGTATTTGTTTGTTTGTTTTCCGCCCTTGTTTCTCTTATTCACTTCTATATCCCCTATGGCTCTGTCTTCCCATTGCATGGTGTGTTCCACCAATTCTTGCAAAATGTATTAGCTAGCTATTGCTGCTACAACAAATGACCACAAACTTAGTGGCTCACAGGAACACAGATTTATTCCCTTACAGTTCTGGAAGCCAAGGGTCCTAACATCAAGGGTCAGCAAGGTTACTTTTTTTTTTCTGGGGGCTATTATTCCTTGCCTTTTGCCTACACTCCACAGCTTGTGGCCTCTTCCTCACATCACTTCTACCTCTGCTTCTGTCCACATCTCTGACCCTCACACTCCTGCCTCCGTCTGATAAGAACCTTGGTGGTTCTATTGAGCCCATCTAAATAATCTCTATCTCAAGGTCCTTCACTTAATCACACCTGCAAATCTCTTTTGCCAAGTAAGGTCACACATTTGTAGGTTTCAGGAAATAAGATGTGGACATCTTTGGAGTCCATTACTCTGTCTACCACACTAAGAAAAGAATACGATGTATGCATGTGCTGGTTTTAAAATGTGTCCACAAATTGATATTCCTCCCTATAAGAGATAGTGCTAACTTCCTTTCTCTTTGATTGTAGGCTAGACTTAGCAACTTTTTTCTAAAAAATAGGAGATGGTGGAAGTGGGTTTGTAACTTCTTGGAGATTAGGTCTAAACTGTGAGATTCGGTCATAAAAAGCATTATGACCTCTCCCTTATTCACTCTCTCGGATCACCGGCTCTGGGGGAGGACAGCTGCCATGTTGTAGGGGTTCTCAAATGGCTCTGTGGCGAGGTCCATGTGGTAGGGAGCTGAGGCCCCCTGCCAATAGCCATGGACAGGGCCATCTTGGCAGTGGATCCTCAGCCCCAGTTGAGCCCTTAGTTGACTGTAGCCCCAGAAAACACCTTGATTATAAGCTCATGAGGACCCTGAGCCAAAAGCTCCCAGCTGATCCACTTCCAAATTCCTGACCCAATGAAACTGTAACATAATACATATCCTTATTGTTTTAAGCCATAAATTTTGGAGCAATTTACTGTACAGCAAGATACCTAAAACAATAAGCAATGTCAGAATCCCCCAAACAAAAGAAACACATTATTTTGTGCTTTGATAGTCTTTGGAACTCTCTTATCTAGTCAGGACCCCACACCACTCTGAGGGACAAGGTGAATAGAGTCTGGTTCTATGACCACACTCTCAGGATGATGGTCTCTTCAGGGTCATCTTCAGAGTCTCCCTGGAGCTTCAGCACAGCACACATAAGTCGGCTGAGACTCTGACTCAGGACAATCCAGGCAGGTACATTTCGGCTGAGACTCTGACTCAGGACAATCCAGGCAGGTACATTTCCAGTTTAGTTCCATTTGTCAATTCAGTTCTTTCTTCTTGGTGTGATCACTGTCATACCTTCTTCCAGATTCCCTTTCTCCTGTCTTTTTTGGTTGTTGTTACTCATAAGTATTATCTGATGTTTCCTGGCTACCAACCAACCTGTCTTCCCTTCTACTGTTTCTTTTACCTCCTTGTCTTAACAACAGCCACACACCTTATCTAATGGTCCTCTGGATCCCGCCAATCTTCAAGATCCTCCTAGACGACATAGCTGACCACCCAAGAAGGCCACCTTGCCTGATTCCTGCCTGGGATCTCTCTGCTGTTTGTTAGATGTTTGCACCTTCTCAGGCCATCAGCAACCAGATTCAAATATAAGCCCTGAGTCTTCTAGAAAACCAAGTTCAAGAAGATTTTTTAGAAGTCACTATTGTGAAAAACTCACGTCCTGTCTCTTCCAGAATTGTAGATGGAGACAGGGTTCTACTTTGAGCCAAAGGTGTCCAGATAATCAGGGTGGAGAGATAATGCTGGCCCAGTTTTAGTCAGCTATACCTATGTGGTGGTTATTTCTGTAAAGCTCGTGAACCATGTGAAAAGTCTGACATAACACTTTCTATAAAAAGAGGAAGATGAAGTATCTCCTCCAACCACAGACCTATGAGTTGGGTCCGTGGCAAGAATTTAGAAATGACTTTCAAGTACATGGTTTATAAGCCTCTGGAGAGGGAAGGTGATCATTTGAAGTCAGTGGGAGTTCATTGAGGGCCAATCATGCAAGATTAGTTTCATTTCCTTGTTTTGACAAGGAAATTGGACTCACAGAGCTAAGGCCTTCTGTAGACATAATATATCTGGATCAAAACAGCACTTTTGGAAGTTTCTCATGACATCCTTTGGATGTATAAGCTGGGGGATCACACTGGATTGGTAAGGGATTAATGGCTATACCAAAATGGGGCTCCAGTTAGTGGGCAGCCTTCAGCTTTCCACAGGGCTTTGCTATTTACCCTCTATCGTGAAATATCTCTGTCTATAATTTAGATGACTTTGATGGCACACTAGGTGTTATTATTAACAATATTAATAGTTCTTATTAATGAAAACAGTGACAGTGGTGACAGAACTTCCACTAACAGTTACTGGGTGCTCACTGTGGTCCAGGCACAGTGCCCGAGGCATCGCAAGGATTCTATTATTAATGCCCCAGAATCCAGTAAGGTAGCAACTATGACTTTCCCATCTTACCGAGGAAGCAAAGGCCGGCACTGGGAGGGAAATAATTTGGGAAAAGACAATTTAGCCTGTCTAACCCTAAGCAGTTTACAGCCCAGTGCCCAAGATAGAACAGGGTGGAGGAAGGGGTGGAGAGGATGGTTGGCTTTATTTCATTTCCAAGGGGGTCTCATCCAAGCGAGGGGGCTCAGCAGCTGGATTCTCACTACAGAAACCCTGCTCTCAGCAACCTTCCCTTGGGAGCCATCATCTTGATCCTGGGGAAAGCCTGCCTGATTTTAGGAAGACCTCCAACCACTGGCTAAGGGGGAAGTGGCAAACCAGGACAGGGGTGGGGGGCTTGGCAAGTGATGAGCAGGTGTCAGGGCCTGAACCAAAGGGCGAGCCTCAGGGCAGCAAGGGCATTGGTGTAGGCTGAGCATTCATGGGGGCAGCAGGAGAGAGCCCCAAACGGAGATTGGGCACCTGGGACCCCCATTGCTGGAGGATACTGGAGGATGCTGGGTTTGGGCAGTCAGAGTAGTTCCTGACCCCAAGCCCTGATGGCAGGGTATGGCGCCATTTTTGTGTTTCAGTGTTTGATGTACAGGGTTGTCTTTAAGAAAGAGGAAACACCAAAGATACAAAAGTAGGGATCCGATGTTTATAGCAGCAATGTCCACAATAGCCAAACTGTGGAAAGAGCCAAGATGTCCATCGACAGATGAATGGATAAAGAAGAGGTGGTATATATATACAATGGAATATTATGCAGCCATCAAAAGGAATGAGATCTTGCCATTTGCAACGACGTGGATGGAACTGGAGGGTATTATGTTGAGTGAAATAAGTCAAACAGAGAAAGACATGTATCATATGATCTCACTGATATGAGGAATTCTTAATTGTAGGAAACAAACTGAGGGTTGCTGGAGTGGGGGGTGGGGTGGGAGGGATGGGGTGACTGGGTGATAGACACTGGGGAGGGTATGTGCTCTGGTAAGGAGTGCTGTGAATTGTGCAAGACTGTTGAATCTCAGATCTGTACCTCTGAAACAAATAATGCAATATATGTTAAGAAAAAAAAAAGAAGAAGAAGAGGGTAGCGGGAGGGGAAGAATGAAGCAGGGGAAATCGGAGGGGTAGACGAACCATGAGAGACAATGGACTCTGAAAAACAAACTGAGGGTTCTAGAGGGGAGGGGGGTGGGAGGATGGGTTAGCCTGGTGGTGGGTATTGAGGAGGGCACATTCTGCATGGAGCACTGGATGTTATGCACAAACAATGAATCATGGAACACTTCATCTAAAACTAATGATGTAATATATGGGGATTAACATAAGAATAAAAAAAAAGCCAAAAAAAATAAATTAATTAATTAAATATAAAAAAAAAAAGAAAGAGGAAACAATTACACGTACTAAATTAGGTAAATGAGTATTCATTTGTATTTGAAAAGAAATCACAACAAATCGCACATCTTGGAAAGCTGACATGAAACTCGTAAGTTACAAAATCAGAAAAATGATCTTGTTTTCTGTCATGTAGAATTATAGCTAATGTTCGTACCAACTGCCCAGCCACTGTCTATAGTACTTCTCCCTTCCATTTGGCTCCAAATCCTTTGGTTGGGTCTGTATTCAACAATAATTTTGGATTATTACTTTCTGTAGAAAGACAAGACAATCAGCTTACATCTTCCCTTGGCAGGGTCAGTCAAAATAGTTTTGTGTTTTTGATGGTCTAGGAATGTTTCCTTTGGTTTCACGACCCATCATGGGTCGCAGGTAACGTTGGGAGGCAAACACTGAAGACTCAGGTGAACTTTTAGGATTGTCAGCTTAGATCTTCCCTTGGCAGGGTCAGTCAAAATAGTTTTGTGTTTTTGATGGTCTAGAAATGTTTCCTTTGGTTTCATGACCCATCATGGGTCGCAGGTAACGTTGGGAGGCAAACACTGAAGACTCAGGTGAACTTTTAGGATTGTGGTCAAATTTGGAAAAGTGGCTGTCACAATTCTTCCCTGTATGATTTCAGGGTGTTTCTATGTCTGTAGTAGGGGACTGTCCCTCAGGACGCTCTGTGTCTGTGACATTGGTAGCCAGTTGGTCAAAGTTAACGTGTGAGCAGTCTGGATGGGCAGCCGAAGGGCATTAGGAGGAGTCCCAGAAGCTATTCCTCCACCAGGATGGTGAGCAATAACATAACTGTCCACAGAAATGGACACAAACCACAGAAAGATAGCCTGTGAACACAAATCATTTTCCCAACTCAACATCCCCCTAAATGGATTCTCCAGATGCCCCTGGCCTCTCCAACACCAGCAGCAGTCCGGAGGAGAGGAAGGAGTGGAAAGAATGGTGGGTTTCACCAGTGGTGCCAATACATTACTCTTCAAATTGTACAATACGAATGCCCATGGGAACACATTGCTAGGCCTCCAGGGCCCTGAAATGGACATTCCATCTTCATCACATCAATCCATCTTGCTGATGGGCCGGGGGAGCTGGTTGGTGCAGTGCCCAGGCAGGGTGCGCATCCAAGTGGTTGCACAGGGCTGGCGGAACCTGGGGCAGGTTGCAGGCAGGCATGTGGTGGACAGGACCCTGAGTGGGCAGGATGGGCTTAGTTCACAGCTAGGTTCTCTGCCACCACCTAATGCGCAAGATGTCATGCAAAACCCATTTGCTTGCCTCTGCTTGTCACACAGTACAAATAGAATCTAGTCCTCGATTGGTTAAGCTCTTCGAAACTTGGAAACCATTATTCATAGTATAATGATCTGTACAGCAGCCAGAAAAGGATCAATACGAGATTTGGACACTGTTTTTGTTCCCATAGACCCAAGAGGACTTGGTCCAGCTCTGGGTGACTATGAAAACCTTGGATTCCCATTCATATGATAGTGACAGCTCTTCAAGAAGGCTCACTCTGAGAGAAATAGAGAGGAGCAAAGGATGGAAGGACATTGCTTATTTTTATTTTCTTACTCTGCTGCAGGGTCGAGCATGTTTGCCTGCTGTGAGTGAAGAGCGTGGGGAGAGAGGGAGCTTGAAGATGCAGGAGCGCCTGGAATACGAGAGGGAGAAGAGCCCCAGGCACAAGCCTTCTGGCTCGGAGGATGTCAGGCTGCCTTGTTTTGTTCTAATGCTGACGTTCAGAAGAACAAGATCTATTGTCGGAACAATGCCTTATTTCTCAGGTTTACACATAGGAATGTATGTTTCACAGTGTAGCTGCAACCCCGATGGAAGATATTTTAACTCAGCCCGTTATTCATCGATTTGATTGGTTGATTGATTGATTGATATACTTAGCTCTTTCCACAAATGATTTTAGGCGCTTTTCACAACATGGATGTGTGAACCAGGAAAAAATAATACGTTAGGACCGGGGGCACCACGCTTGGGAGAGGAGCTCAAGAAGGCAGAAGTGTGGGAGCTGAAGAGGCAGAGTGTAGGAAGACAGACAACCGACACGGGACCCGTGCTATTCCCCACACCAAAGCTGACACACAAATTTGGCTCTCAAGGTCCTGATGGCCAGAGCAAAAACAGAAACATGAATCTGTTACCAGATTTCAGTGTTCACAAAGAAAGAAAACACATGAGTCCCTCTCTCAGGGAAGCAAATTTCTCCTGGTGTGTGTGTGAGTGCATGCATGTATGTGCATATGTGTGTGATGTGTGTATGTGCATGCACGTACGGGTCTGTGCATGTGTGACGTGTGCATGCATGGGTGTGCAAGTGCATGTGTGCCAGAGTGTGCACGCACGGGTCTGTGCATGTGTGACGTGTGCATGCATGGGTGTGCAAGTGCATGTGTGCCAGAGTGTGCACGCACGGGTCTGTGCATGTGTGACGTGTGCATGCATGGGTGTGCACGTGCATGTGAGATGTGTGTGTGTGTGTGTGTGTGTGTGTGATGTGGGCATGCATAGGTATGTGCGTGTGTGTGACACCATCTTTCCCATGGGCTTTGTGAGTGATGTGGCGCACAATGTCCTCAGTCACTCAAGGCTCTTTCTTGGGTCATCACTACATGCATTTGCAGAGTTTAGTTGCAAAGTGCCACTCTGACAGAGCAGGCAGCCAGGGAATACAGACTGTACTTCATGAGGAAAATTCTAGAACCCGTGGAGGACTGCATGGACTCCATGTCTCTCAGACATTTCTCAGTGGAAGCTTGGGTAAGAGTTGCTCTGGGGATGGATGGTTGCCTTTGAAAGTGCACTGAACTCCTTTGTGTTATTGGGCTGAGGTCAGACCCAATTACCTCAGAGAGCTTCTTAGATGGTCACATTGCACATAAGTTTTTGGAACTGAGGACCCAAACCTAAATTCCCCCCTACAAGTAAACTGAGGGGGATTAGGAACACATTAGGAACCAGTGGGTTTCCCAAAGTTTATCCCATACAGAACATTGGAGAAATTACTTTAGCTTGAAAATTTTTGAGGTAGACTCGTCATCATGACCAAGGGAAAAAAAATCTCAGTAATATTCTCATAGAACATCAGTTTTGATTCCACATGATTTCTCAATGGAACCAGCAAGAAGAAATTATTACAAATTGTAGCCTTAAAGAGCTCCATGTGATGACATTTTTTATAGAACATCTGCTGGAATGAGGATTTTAGTTTGAGACAAGTTGATATCACACTATAATCTCTGGCAATAATTAACTAGCAGGACTGGTTTCATGACTGAGATAACTCCCTGCTCTTGCCCTGAGTTTCCTGGGCAGGGGGGTGGGCAACCAGCCCTGCTAAAAAACCGTTCCAATGGTAAAGGGGGGTGGGCACAACAGTCTTGTTTTATGCCATTGGAATTACAGTTTGATTTGCAGAGAGACTCGATGTAAACAGTGGTGTTTAGATGCAGCTCCCACATGAACATGAACCCTGAAATTCACACTGCTTACCCTGCAGCCTGGCTGGGGCCTCAGTCAGAGCCTGGGGCAGGTCGATGGGAGTGATAAGCATTGTTTCGTTGATTAAGAATTCTTCGGGGGCGCCTGGGCGGCTCGGTCAGTTAAACGTCTGTCTTCAGCTCTGGTCATGATCTCAGGGTCCCGGGATCGAACCCCGCATCGGGCTCCCTGCTCAATGGGGAGTCTGCTTTTCCTTCGCCCTCTGCCCCACCCCCTGCTCATGCTCTCTCTCTCTCTCTCAAATAAATAAATAAATAAATAAAATCTTCAAAAAAAAAAAAAAAAGAATTCTTCAAAAGGGGTTAAGGAGTACAGCCAGGCTCAGTTAGAACTGCGGGGACCTTGCTGAAAATCGTGCCATCTTGACCATCCGTCTTGATGTGAGCTTCGTCCTGCTGTCTTTTAGCTGAACAAGCTTGTAGCCCGTCTGTGCTCAAAGAGCTCAATACCTTATGTAGCTTTCAACCCAGAGCAATTTTTAGTAGTTGCACGCCTCATTCCGTCTTCTTCTCCCTTTCATGTTGCCTTGAGAAACAATGGACAATCTCGTTCTTTTCAGAGAGGATAATTACCCATGATTTTGGAAGAAAGCAGGTTTTGTGCCATATTCAGCAGCTCACATGACTGGCTTGTGTAGGGCAGCTGCGTGTGCTGCCAGGATTATGTGTGAGTTGGATTTGCGTATCTGGCTGAGGGGACCCACTGTGATGCTGGCAGCTCACTTTGAAGAGTGTTCTTACCTGCTAAGGAGTTTGAGTCCTATCCAACCCCCCTCAGCTACCTTAGGTTGGACCTTGGCAAAGAAGTCATAGCGTGCCACACCCAGCATGCCTGTCCTTGGAGCCTGGGGTGAGGTCACTAACGTGGGGCGCACAGAGCTCGCTCTCTCTGCGTGCACCATCTCTCGTGCATGCCATGACCCTAGTGCTAGGTTACGAGCCAGTGACCCCTGGAAAGGATATGTCAGAGTCTTAACCCCAGGACCTCAGGATGTGACCTTATTTGGAGAATGGGTCTTTACATCGATTTCAAATGAGGTCATTAGGCTGGGCCCTGATCCAGTATGACTGGTGTCCCCATAAGAAGGGGACATTTGGACACAGAGGCAGGACTGTGTGAAGAGCCACAGGGAGAAGGACGTGTGGAGATTGTGGTGAGGCTGCCACAAGCTGGGAACATCTGGGGCCACCAGAAGCAGGAAGGATCTTTCCCTCCAGAGTCCACAGGCAGCAAAGCCCTGCCGACTCCTTAATTTTGGGCCCCCTGCCCCCCGAACTGTGCGATGATAAATTTCTGTCATTCTGAGTCACACAGTTTGCGATATTTTGTTTTGGCAGCCATAGGAAACGGATACATTAAGCAATAATATTGTCTTCATTTTGCGGAGGAGGAAACGGAGCGTAAGGACTTTCTCTAAGCGCACGTAGCCGGTGTTATGGAATGGGTTCAAGGATGACGTTATCGTTAGAATTTCTTGGTGCCTCCCGTCCCCGGACGGGGATGTTGCCTACTGATGACAGCTTCTAAGAGTACCAGTGGCCTTGCTTCAGGAGGGCGGAGGTGTAAACATTACAGTCCACATACCTCGCATTGCTGCACAAAATCTACTTTCTTCATGCTTCAGCATCTATTCTGTGCACAGACTCGGACACTAGGAGCAGGCAGAATGGGCATGACTATAAATGATGAAAGCCCTTCCCGGAGATTTTGGCCCCCGATTTCAGCCAATATACAGGAAAAAAAAAAAAAAAGGATGCACTGAACATCCACCTTTGGATGATGTGGCAGGAGCCAGCAGGGGTGCCACTTAGAGATGAGAGGTAGAGTCCCCTTGCAGAGCCAAGGGAATAATTCAGCCCGATGGGCTCAGGAATCAGAAGGTGGCTTCTCGACAATCAGCTTCGAGTAAAAGATTGCAAGAGCACAGTAACTTGTCAGCATCTTTCCTGATTACAGCCCAGAAAAGTCTGAGTTCAGGTGCTCAGGGAAACGGATTCCAGGCAGTGGGCAGGACTCCTCGGAGGGGATCAGCATTACATGAAACAGCGGACCATACTCCTACACTATTTTATTTCCGGCAGCTTCTTGATCATGGCAACCATCTGCATAATGCAGGCCCTCTTAATCCATATTTCAGTAATTGTAACCATAGATCACAGAAATTCATTCACATGGCACACAAGATAAGAGATGAAGAAACTGCGTTATGCATGCAAATCAAAACCGCTTGTATTCCTGAATATAATGATGAAAAAAAAAAGTGAGCTTCCAGATGTGCCAGAGAGAGATTTTCAAGACGTACAGTCACTCCGTAACACATTCTGATGAATTTTTCAGAGATGAAATATGCCTTTGATTAGGGAAGGTTTTTTTCCCTTTTTGATAAGTCCTGTGTGCATTGGGGTACTCATTTAGTCATGATGTCCTATGCAAAATGAAAGGATAAAACCTTCACTTTGATTTATGATCGTGGTTATTAATTTCTGATGCAGCTTTTTGGTTTGGATTATTTGGGGGTGGAGGGATTTGGCAACATATATGAGAAGCCTGGGAGATTTACTGGCATAAACATCACTGCAGAGGTCTACCCGTAAATAACAGAACTTCTAAAAGAAGTATTAAATCCAACATTATTAGTAGGTACAGGAAGAAACTTTAAAATGTGAAAAATAAGTTGATACAGACTAAGCTTTCTGCACAGGTTACTTCCGAAGGGAACCTATGCACAGGGACTGGACATACTTTTCTTGTCTGTTTCTCGTAAGAACTGTGATTCCAAACCATTCAGTGGGATGGGGAGGGGGGGTCTCCCGGAACCTGGTGCAATCAGCAAACTAAGACCATACCTGTGGCTCATTTTGCTAATGACCGGGAGTCACAGGATCTAACTTTGATAGGTTATGTTCCATGCCCTCATGCAAAAATGCACAGTAATGAGCGGGCTGTACCAAAATTCCAAATTTGGGTACATGCTGAATTCATATAATCTTGAGTCTGGATGCATCAGTGATATCTTGTTCTCAGCTTGGGCAAACGGCCTCGGGGGCTGGAGGTGAGGTTGTCAAGCCGGCCTGGCAGAGCCAGAGCCTGGGGAATGAGGGGCGCTGGGAACCTGGTGTAGCACGGGGAAGGACCAGCTGCCCCTCACAAGGCCTGCTCTTCTCAGGGTGATCTGGGTGCTGTGCGTGGCCATGGGAGGTGCTGGCCTGGTTCCAAGGAAGTTCTGTGATGGCTTGGAGAGCAGGTCTGGTCTCCAGGGATGGGTTTGGCTGGCTGTAAATGGGGATCCAGGCAGGATCCAGAACCTTGAGTGAGGCCCAGGTGGACTTGGGGTGGACGTCAAGAAGCAAGCCGTCAGGCAGGAGGCAGAAAGCCACAGGTATGGTCTTAGTTTGCTGATTGCACCCGGTTCCGGGAGACCCCCCATCACAGTTCTTAAGAGAAACAAACAAAAAAAGTATGTCTAGTCCCTGTGCATAGGTTCCCTTCGTTACGTAACCTGTGCAGAAAGCTTAGTCTGTATCAACTTATTTTTCACGTTAGTTAGGCAGGTGGTGCCATGGGTCGGGGGTGAGGGAGGTAAGGGAAGAAGCCCTCTGCCTGTCTCAGCATTTGAGATTTTCCTCCAAACACCAAGAGTTGAAGGACCTGGAGAAGAAGAGGTACAGAGGCCAGTGTCCCCTCTCCCTTGGGCGTTTCTGGAAAAGCAGTAGCGCTTCCAGAGAAATGGCCCTCACTGCGGTGGAATTGTGCTGGGCCCCAGGAGCCTCTCGGCTGGCCTCTGCTCGGCCTCCTGAGTGCGCCGAGGTCCGTCCCCCCGCCCCTGCCGCCTCGCTCTTGGGCACTGACAGGATGAAAACTTTTGCCCCCCTGCTCAGCCAGACGGGAAAAGCATGCCTGCCTGGGATCACTTATCTGATATTTTCCAGAAAAACAGCACGTTGGATTGTCTTTTATCAGCTATGAACCAGAACAGGGCCGGGGGGAGAGGGCATGAGGTGTAGAAGCCAGAGGAGCTCCTGAAAACCTGCCCAGGGTGCATCTCAGGAGGAAGGTCTGAGAACGCAGAGCTGCTTTGAATAGCTGAGAAAATGTGCAGAAAGACCTCAGGAGAAAGCTGACCTCTTCTAAGGTTGTGGCAGGGAGGGAGGGGCCCATTTCTGTCTGCCTGCCTTTTTTTTTTTTTTTTTTTTTATTTATTTATATGAGAGAGAGATAGCAAGAGAGGGAACACAAGAAGGGGGAGTGGGAGAGGGAGAAGCAGGCTTCCCGTCGAGCAGGGAGCCCGATGTGGGACTCGATCCCAGGACCCCGGGATCATGACCTGAGCCGAAGGCAGGGGCTTAACGACTGAGCCATCCAGGCTTAGTTAAGCATGTCAGCCTGCTTTTAAATTGCCACCCCGAGGGGCGCCTGGGTGGCTCAGTCGTTAAGCGTCTGCCTTCAGCTCAGGTCATGATCTCAGGGTCCTGGGATCGAGCCCCACATTGGGCTCCCTGCTCGGCGGGAAGCCTGCTTCTCCCTCTCCCACTCCCCCTGCTTGTTTCCCCTCTCTTGCTGTGCCTCTCTGTCAAATAAATAAATAAAATCAAAAAAATAAAATAAAATAAAAAATAAATTGCCACCCCGAACCTGCAGCCACCCCGACTCTTGGTGGGTCGTCTGAGCAGGGAAGCTCGGGGTTGCTGCTCTCCCTGCAAAGCCGGCCAGCTCAGGCCCCTGCAAGTATTTCTGTCAAGAAGAACAGACCTATTTCCTCTGAAATGCTAGTTAGGATTCGAGTGGGAAAGAAAAATCTAGGAGCGAGGAAATACACTTTTAACCATCTCAAGCAATTAATCATAAAATTACCTTTTATTCCTTCCCAAGTCCTACTGAAGTCTATTAAGTGTAATGAAACAACTGATTCATGTTACAACTAAAATTTAAGCAAACCAGATCTTTGAAATGATTTTTTTTTTCCACTTGAGCAGACGAGTCATAGCAATCATCATTCAGTCCAAATTGTTAGGCTGGAGCCGAACTTCGAAGCCCCGAGGCTGGTGCCTTTCATTCGCCCCACACTGACGCGGGAGATAACACATATATTTAGAGGATTCTTCTGGGGATGTGTGTGTGTGTGTGTGTTTTGTTTTTTGTTTTTGTTTTTTAAGTGTGAGGCATATTCAGTTTGGAATTCTTTGCAGTAATTAAGATTTGGGAAAGGGTGAATTTTAGAAATAGGAGCCCTGCAAATAAGTTTTATTGGAAATAGGGGGAAAGGGCTTGCGGATAAGTGTGTGATGAAACAGAATTACGAGTTCCTCCAGGGGAGGCCACTCCTTCGAAAGCTGCTAATGCATAATTGTAAAGCCCTGGGGAGAGCCTTCTGGATTGTTCCTTAACTGCAAGCACACACAAGCCGGACAAGCCCTGCGCGCAGAAAGGTCGGGGTAATGGGGCGGCCAGGGAATGGTCTCTAGGCCAGCAGAGCTGCGAGGGCGGTGGCCCCAGCTCTGGCCTCATGTCCTCCTTGGCACGGTGCTTCCAGCCACCTGCCAACGGGCTGACGCTAGATTCTAGGGAGATTTCCGTTGTCTTAATCCCGACACCCGGGCTTCTCATCTCCATGTTCACAGGTAAGGAAGGGAGGGCACAAAGAGCAGCTTTCGGGTGGTCTGCCTTTTCCCTTTTCCTCGGATTCCATCCTGCCAGCGTTGTGAGGTGCTGACTGCATCCCTGTGACAGAACCATCCACCCCATCTGTGCTTGGACAGACTCCCACCATCTCTCTGAGCCTGGCCAGGCTTTACTGTCCCCCTGCTTTGTCTCCATGAACACAAAGCCCTCCTGGTCCTCACCATGGAATTGCCTCCCCTGAGGCTGGGGTCCTCAGGAAGCGGGCTTTGACGAGGAAGGTGCCTTGTTAGCGCTTGTCAGAGGCGCATGTGCGGAGCATCCGAGGCAGATTCAACTTGGCATGCAGGTGCTTTGTTCCTAAGGATGGTTTGGGTATATGGAGTTGGGGAAATTGTGCCAAAACCACAAAATGAACCAGCTCCCTCTGATGAAATCATCTGATTTTCTTTCTCAGCACATGCCAGGAGGTGAGGGAAACACCGATGGCTTTTGAGACATCTGATTTGACGACGGTGCGCATCAAGCTGCGTGTCAAGGACACTTGAAGGTGCCCTCTCCAAGAAGAGCTACCTGGCTCTTTCCTTCTTCTATGATAGAAACACGACCTTCAAGTTATGATGGACCCCGCTGCATCTCAGGAACGTAAGGGACCATAATTGGAGAGTGCTGTCCGCGCCGAGATGCGCATAAAGGAGGTAGAGCCAGAAATGAGTCAGAAGGGCAGAGAGGTGGGTGTGGCACCCATGGGACTTGGGGGAGGGGAGGGGCCTGGTGCCCGCAGAGCCCTGAGGCAAAGGCCTGTCCTTTGGGTGGAGTGAGTGTCGAGGTATGTGGACAAATCCCGAGATGGAGCCCTGTGGGAGCTCCGGTGTTCCAGATTGCCCACATCTGTCATCTGGGCTGGGGCCGGTCCTGGGGCCAGAGGTGGACACAGCCCAGGGACGAGCACAGCAAGAAAGCAGGGTCTGGCGTCCCCACAGACGCCACAACCAATCTCTGGATCTGAGCCTGAGCGCTCGGTCAGGTCACAGGGCAGGAGGCCAGGGGTAGGGGTTGCGAGACCAGGTCGGAGAGACGTGGGCAAAGGAAGTAGCAGCCTTGGGCTCGAGCGGTGGAGGCGTCTTCCGGGGTGAGAGCGTTTAATTCCACTTTATTTGGCATTTCCGACTCCCTTGTTCTGTCTTTTTGTAGAAAAGGACACACTGAGAGATTGTCGACTGCTTTGATACAAAAATATAACTCCGTCCCATTCCTACTTTCTAGTCTACCGATTCTCTTCTTTTATTACTATTCTTTAAAGAAGTGGCTGCAGTACAACGTCTTCTTTGCGGGCTGACGGTGGTGCTGAGCTGCCCTCACACGCAGTCCTTGTGCACAGACATCCACTCCGTCGTGCTCTCAATGCTCCCGTTCCCATGGGACAGGACAAAACGGAGATGTGGACTCCTACGCACAGAGAGATCGTGATTTCAAAAATCACACATCTAACACAAGTGGCAGGAAATGTGGAAGAAAGCCGACAGTCAGCCTTAGGTGCCAGACCTTTTAGGGAATTTCCTTTCCTTTTTTTTTTTTTTTCTTTTTGTTTGTTTATTGGAAATTTCCACAAGTGACTTTGCTCTGCTTTTATAGTGACAACCGAATCAATATTAAAACCAAGCCAAACCAACCCAGGGATCATGAGCAGCATGAGGAGGTCAGGCCGTGGTCCTCCCTGGGCAGGTGGGTAAGTCGGAAGGAATTCCAGTTGCTGGAGGCTGGTAAGCAGCAGGTTGTCCCTGTTCAGTCTCCTTGGAAGAACGGGGACCCCAACCCCATGAGGGTGTGTCCTTGCTTGACAGTCTCCACTGTTGAGTGTTGCCTCTGACCCCTTCCCTTTCACATAGAGGCCAGGAAAAAGTGGTCAGACCAAAGGAAGCTTCCTTCTGTGAGCAGCTGTTTTGTCCCATTCTTGCCTTATAAAACCATAGAAACCCATGAAGTCACGGAGTATGAGATCATCCATTTCAACCACTTCATGTTACAAATGAGGCTTCAGGGGGATATGAAGCAGCGTCCTTCAGATTACGAGAGGGTTTGCACTGGGAAAATGCATTTACTTTTGTTTACAGTTGGCTTCCCCGCATCCATCACTTCTACACTCATTCATTTTGCCATTTTTGTGGGAGAGACGGTGAAATATCTCATCAGAAAATAGGACGTATCCACTCATGTACAGTCATTAGGAATTAAACCGCAAATGCCATTCCCCAAATTAATTTGGTTTAGATTTAAATAGGGAAAGTGCCTGCCCGGGGCTTCATTTTTCACTGCAGAAGAGATCTCGCTCATTCCCTCTGCAGCCTGGGAGGCCTGGGGAGGGGTGGGGGGGCGAGGGCCAGGGAGGGGCTGCTGGGGAGACGCCAGGGTCGGGGTGCCCCAGCATGGGCCTGGGGATCCGATGGAACACAAGCTGGGGTGAAGACGCCTTGTTAGGATTTGGGGCATTGGAGCTGAGCATGAATACGAACAGAGGAAGGGGGGCCTTTGGCAGGGGCGCGTGGGGTGAAGGGACTGGTTCAGCAGAGCGCGGGGTGCAGGAACCAGTATTGGGGAAACACTTGCAGGGACCCCTGCCTTCAGCTGCGCGCAGGTTTGTGTGATGCCTTTGCAGTGTGCTTACAGGGGAGGCCATCAACTCATCAAAATGAAGTTTAAACAAACCTTAGTACTTTTCTCCATTTGCCTCCGTGACCCAGCATTTTGTTTCTTCTCCCCTCTTGTCTCATCCCTCTCCCGTCCCCTGGCCTTTCCCCTTCTCTCATCTCTTGGGCTCTCCAGGGACTCCTTCTCCCACAGGGTCAAGCCCAGTCCCTGGGATGCCCGGGCTCTGAGGCCTCTTCTCTGTCCAGCCTCTGGCCCCAACCCTGATGTGTCACCTCAGTCAGCGTGTCCCGAACCTGCTGATGAAGTAAGCAACAGAACACATACCACTGTCAGAGATGGGGAGTTGGAAAGGGGGTGCAGGCCGCGGAGGACATGGAAGAGGGGAGCTGGTCAGGGTCGCACAGAAACAGATGCACTTTCGCGGTAAGATGAGTCCCGGAGGCGTTCGTTTGCAAGAGGGAGCCGGGAATAACCAGAGCTAGTAGACGCTGACCTGGCACCTTCACAGGTCCGAGGGGAGGAGGGACAGAGAGTAAGCAGAGCCTGGAGGGAGCACAGGTGTGGAGCCTCTGAAAGGTGCACCTCGGAGCTGGTTAGATGCCCACTCTGACTGGAGGGGCGAGAGCCAGTGTCCACACATCTCTCCAGGACCTCTCAGAGTGGAAGGTGCTTTGAGCAGTCAGGGTGAAGACTCAGGTGTCTGGAGAGGGGTAGGGACCCTTGGTTGAGGGACGGGGATGGTTTGTGGGTGGCGACCTCCCTGGGGAGGAGGAGGGAGCCAAGGGGATAATGCCCCACCCCTCCCCCACTCCCTTCCTCTCTCCGATCTCCAGCTGCTCCTCATTGGCCGAACCCAACCAGAGCTCATGCGTGGGAGTCCAGCTGATGGGCATCCCAGGGTCCAGAGCAGGTGACAAAGCATGGAGGCAGGAACCACAAGGGAAGAGAACAGCTGGGCCCAGTCACAAAGCTCGAGATGGTCACCTCAGTGCAGCTGGTGTTTTCTTCTGTGAAAACCTGCACTCCGTCCCAGCTCTGCTCCTGCTCCAGGGGCCAGCCTATTTGTTTTGTTTTGTTTTTTTCTAAGATTTTATTTATTTATTTGAGAGAGAGAATGAGAGAGAGCACGAGAGGGGGGAGGGGCAGAGGGAGAAGCAGACTCCCCGCCGAGCAGGGAGCCCGATGCGGGACTCGATCCCGGGACTCCGGGATCATGACCCGAGCCGAAGGCAGTCGCCCAACCGACTGAGCCACCCAGGCGCCCGGGGCCAGCCTATTTGTGCCCCGACACCTTCCCTGGGCACTTTGTTTCCAGCTTCACCAAGGCCAGCACAGACCGCTCCCAGAGACCCTGCCCAGATCTGCAAGCCCAGATCTGGGAGCTGAAATGTTGGATTCGGAAGCTGAAGAGTTCCCACCTGCTGCAGAATCCTCCCAGAGCTCCGCCTCCAAGGGCACTAGGCTCCTGGGAGAAAGTTTCTATCCTTTTGTTCACACACACTTGCTGTGGCCTTGCCGTGTGTGGGCAGCATCTCTGCATTCACCGGTAGAAATGCTGACCTTGAGAATGGGCCAGAGAATTCCTTGACAGACACAAAAAGAGGCTATCCCAGACCAGCACTCCTTACTGGTTGTTTACCGTGCACAAAGCACCAAGGGCCTAAGGGACGCCTGGGGGGCTCAGTCGGTTAAGTGTCTGCCTTCTGCTCAGGTCATGATCTGCAGGTCCTGGGATCAAGCCCCACATCGGGCTCCCTGCTCAGCGGGAAGCCTGCTTCTCCCTCTGCCTCTCCCCTGCTCGTGCTCCCTCTCTCTCTCATACTCTCTGTCTCTCTCTCAAAGAGATAAATAAAATCTTAAAAAAAAACCCCAAAACACAAAGGGCCTATGACCTTCTAAGCAACCCTCCACACCTCCCCTCACCAAAAAATTTATGGTAATTTGGATAAAAGATATGTGGACTCTGAGACATGAAAGGAAAACTGAAAAATCAAGATTAATAAATTAATAATTTAATAAACTAATAAAATTCGTACCCTTTCAATTTTTTAAAATCCTATTTTCTGTCCTCTAAATATATGCCAGTTGGTGGTCTCAAGTCCCATTCCCCCTCCTGAAATTGCCTTTCTTATAGGTTCCGCCAAATTTGACTCCCTTTGTTTTCTTTAGATTCTTTAGAATTCAGTAAGTCTGTGTCTAAGGGTTTGACAACATGTTGTAAGCTGGCTGGTCGTCTGGAGAGCTGTGCTAGAGATGGAGTTAGGGATGAAGAGTTTGTTGGGGGTAATGGCTGTGACAGCTAAGGGGAGAGGGCAGGACTGAGCCGGTGGGGGTGGGGTGGGGGGGACATCAGGCCATGGTGCAGACTAGACAGTCCCTGCTCCCCACCTAAGAGGGAGTGCTGGAGGAAAATGCCCAAGAGAGGAGCTCTGCGTTGGGTGGGAAAACCAAGCCCTTGCATGGCCTTGCTGGGTCATTGGTTGGGGCCACCTAAAGAGGACCATGACCTTGTCTTAAAGCTGAGGTGGACCCTGAAGGAGCCCACAGCTGGAGGTGTCAGACGAATGTGCCCCCCACCCCCAGCCTGGTAGCGAGCCCCTTCTCAAAGTTTCATCCTAGTGGCACTTCTGCACGTCAGCAAGCACTTCCTTTGGACCTTGATGAAATCCTGTTTTGTTGGCTGCCGTGTTGATTGATGAAAAGCAGACGTTCACAGAAGGAGGAATCACATTCAGGAAGTTAAGACGCCCACATCTGGAACCAAACTCTGGCCAGGGGATCTCCTGACCCTACTTGCCACTTTTATTCTTGCTGAAGCTTCCTTGTGAGGAACTTTTCCATGCTGAACTTTCTGGAAAAAGCTGCAGATCTCTTTCTACTCGGGGACCAGATAAAGCCCACGGGTTCTTCAAGAGAGGGTCTCATTTCCAGAAAGCAGTGGCCTCTGCAGGCAGGAGATGGTAGCGGACCACGGGGTGGGGTGCGGGGGCTGGTGTTGTCCTCCAAGAGGCTGATGACGATGAACCCAGGCCTGCCAGGCGCACATATGTAGTTTAGATGGGTCCAGGCCAGGGTGACTGTCACAGAATGATTGGTATCCAGAACTATGCTCCCTGGGATTGGTGTTTATTCCATAATTTTCAACTCAGTGGATGGTCTTTAGTTCCCATAGCTGTGGAGAACTTTTCTGATTATGAATTATTATGAAGTGGTATTTTCAAAACTTCAGTCTAAAAATAATGGATTTGGAATGGTTCAGAGCAAGCTTCTAAATATTTCAACACTGCCTTGCATCTTTGTTTCAACTTTTGCCTACTCAGACTGAAATTGCTTAAGATTTATGAATCTGGTAAAAGAATGCGCTGGTGTTAAAGTCTCTATAGAAAAAAAATAACTAAAAATAGCATTAATTTGCACAATTTGGTAATTATACCATGAAGCATTGTGGAAGACTACAATGATCTCATCAAGGCAATCAAAGGATTTCATGACTGGAAGGGCATCGATTTTCCACAGTGATTTCAGAAACACATGTCCTGATATGTCAAATCCCCTCTCTTTCCAGAACGGTCTCAACTGTTTAAAAGCATATGAAGCAGGAAGGAAAACACGAGGTCTGCTTTCCCTAGTTTCTTAACCACCGCACGTGGGTTGTGTAGTTAAGAAAAAGGCTTTGTTTTGCTTTCTGACAAATGACCCCATTTTATCGCATTTTATCTCCTTTCAGTGCAGGGATTCTATGACTTGACCCTCCCAAGCTTGTCTTTGAATCTCAGTCCCCCTCAAAGACTGAGAGGCTGGATAGGAGGCAATGGCTCATCACCGTAGCTGGTGTTATATTCTAACAGGCAGGGTGGGCGTCCGTGAGGGTCAGCGCAGCGCTGGTCCCCAGAAGGGCCACTGAGGTGTCGCTGCAGGTCTTTGGGGGCTCAGGCAGGAAAGCTGGAATAAGAGGAACTTTTTCAGAGTTGGTGTTGGCCAAGGGCAAGCAAAAAAGCGTGTTTCTCTTTCCAGCATAAAAGGCAGTATATCAAATGAAAGTTATTTGTGTCAGAATCATTTCACTGAAGATTAACTGTGTAGTTCTATGCTCCTTTGGTCAGTGAAAAAGTGAGTTTTTATGGCATGTTGTATTACACAACCCCGGGCTTATGTTCTTCATTTATTATTGAGTGTGTATGAGTGTGTGAGTGTGTGAGTGTGTGTGTGTCTTCTTTTTTACCTATACCCATTGCCATCACTGGCTCTAAATTTTCCATGCTATAGGAAGGAATTGGCAGGAGCTAAAGTGTCTAGTTTCCTGTGGTTGTGGTAACAAATGACCACAATCAGGTCACAAAGAGGGGGATATAAAATAAAATAAGTTTATTCTCTCACAGTTCTGGAAGCTGGAAGTCGGAAATCAAGGTGTTGAAAAGCCATGTCCCCTCTGAAGGCTCAGAGAAGCCTCCCTTGCTGTGTCTCCCGGCCTCGGGCCATTGCTGGCGCTCCCTGGTGATCCCTGGTGATCCCTGATGATCCCTAGTGCTCCCTGGCGCTCCTCGGCACACAGATGCCTCCCCACTGCCATGCCTGCCTCCATGTCCCTCGGCCACCTTCTCTGTGAGCATCGCTCCTCTGTGGCTCTGTCCAAATTTTCCCTTCTCATCAGGACACCAGTCCCTAGGGCCCATCCTGATCCAAGATAACTTCATCTTAACTTGATTGTATCTGCAGAGACTCTATTTCCAAATAAGGTCACATTCACAGGTACCCAGAGGTTAGGACCTAAATAGACCTTTCTGGGGGATCCAGTTCAACCCACAGAAAAGGACAATCATACAATTAAAAGGCGGACAGACCGGGAGCATCTGTAACAGCTTCGGTTTTAGCTCATGGTCCTCCCTGATTCACTGAGGGGGCCCTTTTCTCTCATGTGGGATCACGAGCCACGTTCAGACTTGGTGGGAGACAGGTGTCCTGACTGATGAGCAAGGTATCCAAATGTGCTGTGGACATAGGAGGGGGGATGGAAGCGCGTATACAGCTGACCTGACAACCTGGTGCATTATTTCTTGGCTGAAATATTCGCTCCTGGGTGTTACATACCCGTATTCGTGAAGCGAGCCAATACCTCAATCCCCATATTCAAAACCAAGCTCTTCACTTAAATCTGATTTCACCCCAGCTCCCACCAAAGATTTGTCATGCTATACAAATGAGCACTCACTTAGCCAGTGTCCCTGGGATGTGTAGGGCCACATTCTGGTCACCCACCATTCAGATACATCCACAGAAAGTGCATTTTTCAAAACAAGATGTGGGCTTTCTGAAATTACATCATAAATCCTTGACTGGGATGCTAAGAAATTTAAAAGTTTCATGGAAGGGAAAACAGAATTGTGTTTCTTTTACTCTTATATATTACCTTATGTTCCATGGTTACTAAGAAATCCTAACAAAAGAGGACATGTTATGTCATTTATCCCCGAATTTTGTGAGTCTTATTCATAGATTTCACCTCTAGTCATGCAAATAAAAGATGCAACTTATAGAATATCAGGCTCATTGTATTTGTCTGCTCAGCCTGTTGTCACGAGGTGCCACCGACTCTGGGGATTACACAACAGAAGTGTGTTTGTGGCACTTCTGGGGGCTGGAAGTGCGAGGTGAAGCCGGCAGGATGGATTTCTTCGGCTGCCTCTCCCCTTGGCGGTCTTCTTGCTGTGAGCTCACGGGCTCTGTGCTCTGTGTGTGTGCGTCCCCAGTGTCTCTTCCTCTTTAGAAAGGACACCAGTCCCACTGCATCAGGACCCCAGCCTTCTGTCTTCATTTAACTTTAATTATCTCTTTGAAGGTCCTGTCTCCACATAGCCGCACATTCTGAGGTCGTGAGCGCTAGGGCTTCAACGTGGGGTTTTGAGGCGGACACAATTCAGCCCATTACAGCTTCAAGGGGCCTTACAGACACACTTTTCTAGAAGAATGTGCATTCTGCAATTAGACGAGCTAAGCAAGTCTGTGGTAGCAGATTAAGAATTTCTGTCTCAGGGGCTTAAAATAGCGAGGGTTCTTTCTCCTCATGTCATCTGGTCAGGGAGAGTCTGACGGGGTCTCCAGAAACTGTGTCTGCACCTTCTGGAACGTGAGTCCCTGTGTGGCTGTGGCAAGGACAGCATGCAGAGAAGTCACTCTCACGTGCCCCTGGGAGTGACGCATGGCCCTTCTGGCCACTTGGTCCCAGGGGCTGGGAAACCAGCACTGAGCGCAGACCCCTGAGCTACCACTTGATAGAGCAGGCGAGTCGAAACCTTTGCTCTAGGTCATGACAAACCCATGTCATATTTTGCTCTCTACATTCTGTCTGTGGTGGGAGGGATCAAAAATGAATGGAACATAAACACAAAAATATCTTTGTGTTAAAAACTCCCAAAGTGTTGTCATAGTGTGTTTTGTTCCCTAATGTGTTTTCCCAACAACACTGGATGAAAGGCTCCCTTGTTAGGTACCCAGGATATGACAAGATGCCATTCCAGATTTCAAGGAACTTTCAGTCTAGAGTCGAGAAAGCCAATAGTGTGAGAAGAACTATGGAGATGAACGTAGAAGGTACACTAAGCAGAGGGAAGCTGCTGATGGATTTCCGGGAAGACATTTGGGTAGATGCCTAATACTTGTGGGCAGACAAGGGAGTGTGCTCTTGGCAAAGACAACAGGTGTGGGTGGGTGTGTATGTGTGTGTGTGTGTGTGAGCTGTGTGTGTGTCTACTCTCTTGTCTCCCAATTCCAGTGTGGAATGGGGGCCTCCCATGCTACCAAAAAGTTCTCTGACACCAGCTGGGGGTCCTATAATTCAACTCAATCCGACACTATTTACTCAGAGACAGCATCAGATCCCAGCGGACAGGGCTCAGTCCCACAAACTGCCATCTGCGTCAGATACCAATTTCAAGTCAGGTCACCTGGGCTTCTGACCTACTGGCTACAGATCAGAAGTTCCTACAACCCTCTCCTTGGGTTCGATTAATTTGCTAGAGCAGCTCACAGGGGTCAAGAAGCTTGTTTATTCACTAGATTGTCAGTTTATTATAAAGAATATTAAAGGATACAGATCAACAGCCAGATGAAGAGATATACAGGGTGAGGCCCCGAACAAAGGACCTTATGTCTCTATGGAGTTTGGGGCCCAGCTCAGTGGTCTGGGGAAGCATACTGGTTCACCAACCTGGATGCTCTCCCCATCTTGACCCTTTGGGATTTTATGGAGACCTTATTACACAGGCCTGATATGAGTAAATCATTGGCCGTTGGTCATTAATCGAACCTGCAGATCCTCACCCCTCCCGGGAAATCAGGGGGTGGGATGGAAAGTTCCAGCTCTCTATCCCTGGTTAGTTCTCCTGACAACCATTCTCCCCCCATAGTCAGGGAATTTCCAAGAGTCACCTCATTAAAATAAATTCATTCTAGTGGAAAGGGGCTTGTCATGAATAATGAGACACCCGTTCACCTTATGGCTCTGAAAGGATTTCAGGAACTGGGGACCCGAGACCAAATGTTATAACAATATATGCTCCCATTGCTCTCGTTGCTCAGGAAATTCCAAGGATTTGGGGGGTTGTGGGGCAGGAACCTGCAGGAAGACCAAGATATGCATTTATTATAAATCACAACAAGACAGTGTGTGGGGGAGTGAGGGTGAGTGTGTCTGCAGGTACTGGTGTGGGTGCCCGCTGTGCCGAGCCCCGAGGCACTGGACCCCTCCTTCTGCCCCTGCACGTCCACCCGCACCTGAGCGGCCATCCTGGACTCCCGGGCCGTCTACAAAGGCGCAGGTGAGGTGGCAGGAAACCAGGGGGCGGGGCGGGGGGATCAGGATTCCGGACACGACTTCCGTAGAGTTACAACTGCTTGATTGTTCCACTCTCTCTACCCTCCAGCTCCCTCTCTCTCTGTCCAACTGGCTTGAAAACACTGTATTGAGGTAAACTGAAACAGAATTGTGTTTTGGGTTCCTTCTGGAGTTGAGCTAGATGTAGTAGTTGTTGGTTTCATCTTCTGAAATTAAAAGAGCATCTGAGGAAATAGAATCGTTTTATGAATCTGTCTTACCTCTTAGCGGCTACACAGAGAATAAACCCACCGTTGCTCCTTTGTTCCTTCTAGCTCTGAAAACTGAACTCCAGGTTTCAGAATAGCTAATATAATTATGTATGTAATGAGGTAAACACATACAAACACACAAAACACCAGCTGGCCCCAGGATTCCTCTTAAGGAGCTGCTTTTCCTGAAGGGTTACACGAGGATTATACGAATAGAGACCGTGGAACAATGGCCGTATGGCTAGTCTGTATTTGGTGTGGGCTGTTATTTGGGAAGTTTGCCCCGCGTGGCCAGAAGAGGAGGGGGGATGTGAGTAAGAGGGAGAGAACGAGTGAGCGGGGAAAGGCAGGCCTGGAAGGGAGGTAGCAGGACATCATGGGCTTGGGGTCACCGAGCGACATTCTAGAAGACCAGTGTAAGCAGTTCACCTGGACCTCGGTGTGTTGAAATCATTAAATTCTGTCCTCTGTTCCTCATTTTCCACCCAACGGATGTGACTGTCGGCAAAAACCATGCTACGCCTCCAGATACTTTGGGTGAAAGGTTTTCTTGATTGGTGCTGCCTATTCGTTGAGGTAGGAATGGGTGTATGTGTTCATAAGGGAAGAGCTGATTTCAGCTGTATAGTTTTGAGGAGTTTGAACTTCCACAGGTTGTCCATTATTCCTGGATCTCAAAGCATCACATTTTGGTTACATTTGTATCCCCCGCATGAGTATGCTGCGTTTCGGACTTGGTAAATTCTCAAAACATAGACAATGCACAATGTATTTGAGACTTGCCCAGAAGTCCTGAGGACTGTGGGGACGGCCCTCAGGAACGAGCAGGAGAAGAAGACTGGGATTGTGTGCTGTCGTCGGATGGGCCCCCCCCAGGCTCTGGTTCCCCCCAGTTTTACTTCCCCCATGCAAGGCTGGCACTTCACGTTAAGGTAAAACCCAGAAAAAAATAGTAACAACTTTGAAATTAACCCAAGGCCTCTTAGCCGACCACCACATTGCAGACTGCGATTGCAGGGCATTTCTTGTCAACCATATACAAAGTATTTTTATATTTTATTTTAGACCGTCTTTTCCCCATTGTATATTCTTGCTTCCTTTGTTGTAGATTAAGTGACCATATAAGCGTGTATTTATTTCTGGGGTCTCTATTCTGTTCCATTGATCTCTGTGTCTATTTTCTTGCCAGTACCACACTGTTTTGATTACTATAGCTTTGTTGTGTATCTTGGGATTGTGATGCCTCCCGCTTTGTTCTATTTTTTTTTATTTTATTTTTTTTTTAAAGATTTTATTTATTTATTTGACAGAGATAGTGAGAGCAGTAACACAAGCAGGGGGAATGGGAGAGGGAGAAGCAGGTTTCTTGCCAAGCAGGGAGCCCGATGTGGGACTCAATCCCAGGACCCCGGGATCATGACCTGAGCCGGAGGCAGACGCTTAATGACTGAGCCACCCAGGCGCCCGTATTTTTATATTTTAAACATACGCCAATTGAAGAAAGGGAAAAGCAGTTTTCTTATGATACACTATTTTACTTATGATCAGGTTGCATGCATTCTCTCTCTCTTTTTTTTTACTTTTGAAAACAATTCATTTACTATAAAAATAATACAGGTTCATTGCAAGGGGGGGGGATCAAAACATGGAAGTAAGCAAAGAGAAGACAGTAACACGTCTCTTTAAAGGCCTGTCCCTCATGGTATCTATTGCTTTTGTGTTTGTGAAGACATTTCCAGATAATTTTCTAGTCTTGCTTATATTTCTTTACAACTGTTAGATTTCAATAGACATGCTGTTTGGTAATGGGCTGTAGTCACTGGGCAGTCATAGCTGGTAGAAAATCATCCGTGGCGGTTCCAGAGGAGTCCGTCATGAGGATGGACCACAATCAGCCATCGAATGCAGAGCTCTGACATTCAGGTTGCGGCTACTGTTGTTTTATGTTGTTGCCAACCTGATTAAAATGATCTTGATAAGCAATACATTGATCTTGATAACTAAAAACAAATAAACACATCCTTAATCATATTCTTTAACAAGGAATGCCAAGGAACTAAAGGGCAAAAGACATGCACACTTTAAAACTCTGGATATTTATTGCTAAATTGTCTGTCATAAAAGATGTACCAATTTATATTTTTGTATTGGGGTGTGGGAGGGGCGGGGATCTTCCCACTGTGTAAATTCACACAGTTCCTTGCTTACCGGGAAATTTACTTTTTTTCATGTCTTCATTATCCCTTTGTGCTTATTTTATAAGAATTTCCTCCTCAAGAGCTAAACAATTTTTCAATTAGTGTGTTCATATTTCTAACTTTCTAAAAATTCTGCATTTATTGTTCATACTCTATCCTAAAGAGGTTCTGACATGGCTTATTTTTTTTAAAGATTGAAAAAATAAAAGTTAACTTCAAAAATAAAAATAAGA